TAGACATTTCAGCTAATGTAAATTAGGTTCTGCCTAATTTGGAAAAGAGGGGGGAAAAGAATACTGTTTGAAAGAATAATGATAATGCAATCAAAAAATGCAATCCTCGGCAAGAGCCTATGTTTTCAGGATTAGGAACAGTGTTCCACTACTACTAATTCTAAAACTATTGTCTATAATAGTGTTAAGTATCACTGATATTGGCAACGAGTTCTATGATAAAAATTTCTACTAATAATTTTATTTGTTAAAAATTAAACTACCATAATTTGCCAAAATTTAGATCCAGTTCTTCAATTGATAGTATATATATTGATGATTTTTTTGAGGTTTAAATGCAATAAGTTATTTTATTTTCCTAATGAAATTCTGTCCAATTTTTAAAGCTGTACAATAGATATTTCAAACTATGTTGTAGGTCAATAATTAATGTTACAGCTAATCCTTGCATCAGAAAAGGCATCTTTCAAAAAAATCCCCTGTGGAAAATTCATTTTAATACCTGAATTAGCCCATATTTGATTACTAAAAATATTTTCTAATCAACCTCTAAAGCTGCATTTCCTGATGGTTGTAATCATCAAAGGCAAGTTTGCTTAAAGGATTTGCTTGACCTTCCATAATAAGCTATTAGACAGAGCTTTCAAAGCTAAATTAAAATGGACATCAAATTCCCTTGTGAGGCAGAAGTGTCCACATTGTGCCAAAGGATAATAGATCAGATGTGTTTGCTAAAACTCAATGAAAAACAGCAGGTGTTTGGCTGTAGATGGTGATAGAGAAGGCCCAGACAAAAGAGTTTTACATCATAGCCTCAGATTCTCTTAGTTGGAAAAGTACATTAAATGTCCTCTAAGTCAGACGCTCATTTGAATATTGAATTTTATCCATGAGCTCCAGTGTTGTTTGAACACCCAGTTGCTCCCAAGGCAGCCTATTACTTCTTTGTATGTTCTTCAGTTCCTTCATTGGGAAACACTCATGCTCATTTTTAAATTCAGAGCCCCCACACTAGTGGAGAAAAGCAGGATGTAACCCAATCTAGAAATGCAACATTAGCACAAGTTAAACTTTTGCTTGTTCTGTCTAGTAAGTTGGTGGTTGAGGCAGAGTTTCCTCCAGAATAGTTCCCAGTGAATTAAAGTAGCCTCTATATCTATACACGATAAATGATACAGTCATGTGCCGCATAACAACATTTTGGTCAACCATGGACCACATATGTGACGGTGATCCCATAAGATCAGCACCACATAGCCCAGGTGTGTAGTAGGCTATACCATCTAGGATTGTGTAAGTACTCTATGATGTTCACACAAAAACAAAATGGCCTAAGGACGCATTTTTCAGAAGTTATCCTCGTCCTTAAGTGGCACATGACTGTATTCAGTTCCTCAGATTCAGTTGCCTGTCTCCTTTCCCAGCATTTTAGAAACTCTGCCTATCTTAGCGAACCTTCGGGAACCTCAGGGAACGTTGTCGTCTGAGCTCCACCTTTAGTTCTCAATTTCCCTTATGCTATCAGGATTGCCAGACATTCCCTTGGATTACCAGGCAGAAGAGAAATCCAGACTTACACCTGTGAATTGGGTTGGGAGGCTAGTGAGGAAGCCTGGGGGGTCACAACTTACACAATTTTAGAAGACTGGATTTCTGGTCTTAATTCTACCAATAGTGAGCTTTATAATCATGAGTGTGTCACTGTATTTCTCAGATTTTCAGTTTTCTTCCATATAGTGTGAGAATAAATATACCTACAGTTCAGGGTTGTTGTAAGAATTAAAGGAAATAATACAGAATATTTAAAAAAAAAAACCCTTGATCTTTTCTCATTACATCTTTAAATTTAGTGGTGAAGCAGCTTTGTAACCCTAATGCCTTAATGAAAAGTAAAAGAGTTAATACATTTTTAGAAAATGTGTAGAATCCACATTAACCAAATGTTAATTCACATTAACAAAATAAGGTTTTAAACTTGAGGATTTTTGTCCCTCTTACCTGTCACTCTGAACACCTCAGGAGGTAGGCAAAAACTGAAGATGGCAGTTTTATGATACTGAATATAATGATAATAAAAACAACAGATGCCATCTATTGAGTGTGTGTTACGTGCTAATCCCTGTTCCCAAATGTTTTACATATATACTCTCTTTCACGTTGTTATGGCTGGGGAGGGACTGGTCCTGCATTCAGTCTTTTTTCATGTCTGTCCTTTCTTGACAAAAAAGTTAACTGGTCGTGTACTTGATTAAACATTAAAGAACACATTTGATCTTAATTCTGAAGATCCTTCATGACTGTTCTCGACTGCCTGCAAGACCAAATTTGGGTTGTCAATCTGGAGTTAGGAATGACACTGCTAAGAAACGTCCTCTGCTTAGCACTTGAGTTAGGAGGTTAAGAACGATCAAATTTCAATTCTGAATTATTCTTTCAATTCATGATGCTTTTTAGTTGAGAATTCTAAAAAAAAGTGTATAACTCCTGCGCATGTCTATTCTTACTATATGTACCTTCAAGTATTTATACTTGCTTTAAGTATGAACATAATATTGGCATGCACTGAGTCATTCATCCAAGAAAAATGGAACACTATTATTCTAGATAATGTTCTATGTTCAGGGAAATGTAACAGTGCTTTTCATGTCTTTCATCAAATGTGCCTTGATAAACTATTTTTTTGAAAACTACCAAAACAACAATAACAACAAACAAAAACTTCGCTCCTCACTTCTCAGTTTTTTGTCTTTTACTGGCACTTTCTTTTACTCTCTGTATTTTCTTGTTTCACAAATTTCTTTCTCTCTTTCTCCACAGTTTTAAGAAGAAACTACAAAGTAATTTCTTTCTCCACATCCTCTCTTGCTGATTAATGTTGCTAATATCAGCAGGCTTAGACTTCTGAAGGTGATAGAATTAACGTTTGCTGCATCGAGAGGATTTTTAATGCTCTCTATTACAAATTGTGGCAATGTTTACCCACTTTTACATGCTGTTTACTATTCCTGTTTATATTCTAAGGGAAAATAAAGGTGGCTCTCCATCTCACAGAAGTTTGCAGATACTGTCAAAACATTTCACGATATCAGCATGGAGGGCACTATTCTTGCTTTCTTGACAAAATAGCAATATGTAGCAAAGGTGCACGTGAAGCTGTGTGTCTATTTTGGGGAGTACACTGAGGTTAAAAGACAAGTTTGAGCTCCTGATGCTATGCATACAGTATTTGGTCTTCTATATCCTCAAGAAAAAAACCAATACATTTTATAAAATCTAACCTTTTCTTGTACAAGTTTGAGTAAGGTACTGTGTGGATCAACCACCCAAAGATCTTGGCTTTAGCAGTTTATGTAGAATAATGTTCCATGATAAGTGGGCATTGGTACTTTCATAAATTCTAATTAGCCAAAAAGCTAATAGTTACACGGCTGGGTGGCCAGCAAAGGGAGATGTAACACTTGCTCTTGTTTTCACAGACTTACAACCACAATCTCTTTATGTCATTTTAGAGTAAAAATATGTTAAGTGTAGGCATGTGAGGAAATAGTACATTCAGGGTTTAGGAACTGTAACATTGGGAAAAGCATATATGTGCGGGGAAACCTCAAAATTGAGAAAATTATACTTCAAATCAGTTATTTCTAGTTATAGAGTCAGGACTTCAAATCTCTAGTAAAACATTTTCTCTCTGTCAGGGGAGCAGTTATATTTCAGAGTCTTTCAAAATCATACCCAAATTAACCCGTGTAGTGTATTTTAATTTATTTTACACACTGGGCTAAGTCTACAATTAGTAGGAATTACCTAGAAACATGATCTGATGGTTTTGGATTTATTAACAACATAAATAATCTGTGAGCATTGTAATATCCATTTTGGGGTTTGTGAACAGGAAAAAAAATGCTATAATAAATAAAGATATATTACATTTCAATTACTCTTTGAGTGGTAATTTTGCTGCCTTGATCATTTATAAACAAATACTTGTTGAGCACCTTCATTCAGCTAGGAACTGCGATACTGTGATAGATAGAAAATAGTTCCTGCCTGCAAGGTACTCCCTGCCAAGGGAAGGAAAATGATGGGTAAATGGAAAATAGCCTGTTTGGACTCCCTCCATGTGTTTGTACCATTAGAATAACTCATAGAAACAAAGATGAAACACGATCTCTCACCCAACACATGCACTATTGGCTTTTTAATCACTATATACCATCTCCGCTGATCACAAGCACATTTTCCTGCATGCTGTACTTATTAGAACTTTTGCTGTAAATTTCCCCATCCCAAATCAGAAACCCTTCAGTATAAAACAGTGCATCTTGCTTTAGTCAATCGAATGTTCCACCCTTATAACATATATGTTTGCAATGTCTTTGAAATTGTTTTATTCCCATTTCTATTGCCTCCCTGGATTGAGTCTTCATTAACTTGTGCCCACATTATGGTCTCCTACCTGGTCTTTTCCCTCAGCCTCATTTCACTCCAATTCTTCTGACACCTAAATTTTATTCATATTTCAGAGTGTACCTAAAATCTTGTTTCCACATGAACATTTCCCTGGCCACTCCCAATGATGCTTATTTCTCAGAACTGTGGGTTTTATGTCTGTATAGTTTGGCAATAGATCAAGGAATATCTCATTTTGTTGTAGAATTGTTTTATGTGTATATTTTGCCTTCCAAGTGAACAGGAAGCTCTTTCTGGACAGGATCCATGTTTTATGAGCTGTGACCATAATCACGTAACTGAATCTTATGAGGGTCTTGCGAAGTTCCTCTTAACTTAGACCCCTCAAAGCACTAAGCATAGTGTTGAGCACCCAGTACAAACTTCAAAGTCACAGAGTGAAAGGCTGCAACACCAAGTTCACATAGAAAAGCCTCCTTAAAAAGTGCCAGTATACCAAAACCCTCTAGGAGGTCCTCAATACAAAAAGCTGGTTATTTCTGTAGTCAGTACACACTAGTTCAATATAATGTTCAAAGTGAGGTACTTACTAAGGCAAATTTTTTGTTGAGAATCATCTGTTCCACCAAAGATGACTCATTATGGAAGAGGTGGGGCTGCATATGGCTCCACATATGAGGAAACCACCAGAACTCGTCGACAGACCCCAAAAGATGGTCATCCCCTTCATCTTCCTCTTCAGTTCCTTTGGGGGTGGGGGGAGGAAAAAAGATTATTCAATTAATTCCAGTTACACTGTCTGTCTATCTATCCATCTATCTAATTATGTAGTCCTATCTGTGTATTTAGAAGACACCATTTATACTTAGACACATGTAAGACTTGGAACATGAGATGTAGCAAAGGAAAATATGTTACTTGGGGAACAACCAGAGACTGTGAGAAAATGACTCTCTAAACAATTGTTAAACAGGAGACACAGATATAAAATCACTGCAAGATGGAAATACACAGCCATTCCCAAGGACACTGAACTCTTAACTTTTAGCATCTTTGTATAATTTGCAGTTTGGAGAGAATGGGGGGCTTAGTAGGTGATGCAATGGAGGGAATACGTGTAAGGAAATGTGGGTCAGAGCTCCAGTAGCAGATCATTTGGACATGGGTCACAACACAACCGACACAACAAAATAATTCCATAATTTATTTGGGTTCCTCCTTAAGTCAGAGAAGATGTTACTCAGTAATATTTAGTGAAAACTAAGGCAAAAAAAGGAGAAAAAAAGGAAATGTAGGAATTGTTACTGGGAAAACTAGAGAAAACTGAAGGAAAGAAAGGAGAGAGGATGAAAGTGATGGGAAGAAGCTGAGAAGTGGTGAAGTCAGTAAAATGATCCCAGCTGCTCCTTGATGGTACACACGTTCCTCATGCTTGTCCTTTCTCTCAAGTTCTTGGAAGCAGACTTTCCTACACGAGACTTCTAGTTCCTTCAGAGTCAACTCTGTTGTTGTTCCTCTGATTTTTCATATTTGGGCTTGCTTTATTTCCTCCATTTCCCCAACCTGCAGTTTAGCTGAGTGTGGGAAATTCCACAGTTTTCTTATTTGAGGGAGGTAGGAGTCTCTTTTTGTACTGCCCCAGGCACAGTTTTTTTACTGGAGCATGAAAAGAGAGCAGTATAAGGTGCCTCACTACTGTCCTGCATATCATAAGATGATATTAATCATCACAAATTATGCAGCCATGCTTAAATTTCAGCCACAACACTGAGTCCAATAAACCTAGAACCGTGGGTTTTTTCAAACAATGTCTTCTCTGTGTGGAGAACAGAGGAACATGTTCAAACAGACCTCAGAGATGCAATCAGCAAAACCTAGACTAGGAAACTCTAGAGGAAAACTCTTTCTTTTTTTTTTAACAAATACATTTCAATGAGGAAGGGAAGAAAGAGGAGTAACCTGTAGATTAAAAGAGACTTAAAAGACATTTCAACTCTCATAACTTGTGACCTTATTGGTATCTTAATTCAAATAAACCCTAAAACAAAAAAGCCGTTTATGCTATTTATGAGGACATTTGAACATTGATTAGATGTTAAGGAATTATTGTAAAACATTTTAGATGTGATAACTGGTATTGTGTTTATGTTAAAAATAAAGAGTCCTCCTCTTTCAGAAGTATATATTGAAATATTTATAGTTGAAATGTTATATCTGGGTTTTGCTTCCAAATAAGACAGAGGTGGGAAATGGATGGGAATATAGAGAAAACAAGACTGGCAATGAGTCGATGATTATTGAAGCTGGGTGATTGGGTATAGGGGGCTTCGTTATACTATTCTGGTTAGTTTTATAGAAGTATGAAACAATAAAGTTAAAAACCTAATAATAAGAAGAAGTTTAAAGAAGAAAAAAATTACAAAAATAATATGCTTTCATCTCAAACAACACTGAGTATATAATTAAAAGGTGGGTTGTCTGTTTTCACATCCCATTTGTCCTCTCATATTTTCAGCAGCAGTTCTGACGTGACTGGTTTTAAAGGGCCCTACAGGCTAAGGATGGAGGATGGACTGCTGCCCTCACCAGCCAACAGAACCCAGTGCTTGTGACCACTGTTCTTTCATTTACTTTCCCAAGAGAAGGAAGGCAGAGCCCACCCGCAGGAAAAGAGTCAGATCCTATGATTTATGGGACAGTGAAAGAGACTTACCAAAGATAAAGATATAGTGTGAGGCTGCATGGTTGCTCTAATTTATGCAGGAGGAACAGGATTAGTGATGTAGACTGAGTGGAATAACAGAATTCTTCAAAGGGACAGTCTTCAATCTCACTTTCATATGCTTAAATACTCTGCTGATATGAAGGGACTATTTTCTCTCCATATAAAGGGCATCTATAAATCGAATCCATTTTATTTCCCTTATTTTTTCCTCTTCATCATACACTCACATTACCATAGTATAGTTGAACAAGTATTGCCTTTGGAGTCAGAAGTTTTTAGTTTATTTGTAGGTTCCAACACATTTGACTTGTGTGATTGTGGGCAAGTCACATAACCCCTTTAATGTTGGTATTCGTGTCGGCAAAAGGATGGCTAGCATACCTCTTTTATTCTTTTGGGCAGACGTGTCTACACGGTCCTGGCACATACTGGGTGATCTAAAATGCCCATTTCCCTTCCTCCTATACTTCCTACTTCTGTTCTCCTGTCTCTCTTCCATGTCTCCTTGAGTATTGTTTTTATGTTTTTTCACTATAATACCACACGGGGTTGGGGGGCAGTCTCACCTGAGTGTTACGTGGCAGAGGGGACATTGTATTTAGGAAAGAACTGATCAAGCCATTATATTAACTGCTTGGCCTGATTCATAAGTCACCAACATTGAACATTCTTGGGGCTTCCGAGTGACTCTCTTACAGCTCAGGGAAGCCTTCTAGAGAGGAATTCCTTTAGAAGGAATAGGAAGATGGAGTCATGGTTTAGAATCTCTGATGACCCCAACCATGGCAGGGTCTTGGGTCCTGCTACTTTTTAGGTGATAAATAAGGTGGCCCTGGTAGAGAAACATTTGCTGCATGTGACGGTGATGCTTAAATACATGTTTGTTTGTTTGTTTGTTTTGACATAAGAATGTTGTCATTTGGTTTCCCTGCAATTAAACATCTCTACTTAAATCCAACATCTCCTCTTGCTTAACATTTTGTATGTCCTCAGGACACCATATTAGTTAAGATTACAGTCAGTTACATGTTGCAGTTTTACTTTCCCATACTGAAAACAGGCAGAAGTCTCTGGGGATTTCCCAGTAGCCACTTCGTTCCTGACTTCCACCTCCCCTGGGTAAAGTGAGCTGCGATTTTCCAGTTCATGGAAAGTCATCCCTCCTACTGCTTTTCATCTCTATTCCCTGCCCCCTATAACTCCTGTCTTTCCCTGCATCTTTCTTCTCATCTCTCCTTTATTCATTTTTCTAGTTGGCCTCTACCCAAAGTTTATTTATCAGGACAGCACAAAGATCTCAGGGGTCTTTGGAAAGATAGCTCAGGCTTTTGTTGTCCTTTCCTGAATATCATGCTGAAAACTGCTATTAAAATATATATACATTTGAATTATGCAGAAGTCAGCCAAAGCATGTCTGCCCTCTGACAGATTTATGTAAATTCATAGTAGGCATAATTGTATGCCTTTCCTTTTCTCTTTATAACTCTTTCTTATCTGATTTTCTTTAATCCTACTATGGGGATGTTTTACACCAGAATTAATTATATTGAGAACAAGTGTCTATTGCTTATTACTTGAAAGATTATGATAAAAAGCAGTTGCAACATAATTGTTCATGGTTGGATTGTCCTGGCCTCTTGCCACCCCTTCTTCCCCGACTTAGCCCACCGTTGTCAGAGCTGGAGGAAGAGAGAAGAACTAGAAGTCAAATTCCTCAATTTTAAGTGTCATTTCTTAAGTTGTTACAAAACTATGCTGAAATCTTATAAAGTTATTGCAAATTATTAGTTATTTTATTATATTTAAGTCTCTTCAGTATTTTATCTGCACTATTTCCTACTCTGATATTATATTGAAAACCATTATTGATTGAGACTACCTTTTGTCAAGCATTGGGTTGTATTTTTCAAGCATCATCTCATTTAATTCTCACTACAACTTTATGAGGTAAGGCCACTGCCAACTCCATTTTACAGACAAGGAAACTGATATTTGGAGAAGTGAAGTAATTTGTCCCAAGTCACTGAGCATGTTGGGACAGAAACTGAATTCTAACCCAGATTAAGCAACTCCAAATTCAGGGGTCTTAACTATCATTCATTGACCAAATGTGGAGTTTAGAAATAAGATCAGCATTTACTAATTCAATATAACATTGCTCTTCACATTGTTAATTAATTCTATGCTATAATTAGAATTTACAAATACCACTGGTTCTCAGTGATTTGGGAAAATGTACAAACCTAAAGAACCCAAAGATAAGAGGAAGGAATCTTTTGCCATTCAGCTTCCCCAGTCAGGCACTGCCAATCAAACAATAAAGATCCAATTTTTCTAATGCCTAAGACTTGGGCTCTGACTGACGTAAAGTTAAGACTATTTTTTGATACTTAATTAGCTATATGACTTTGGGCCTCTCTAAGTTTCTATGTTCTTATCTAGAAAACAAGGTAACATATTCTTTAACTCCTAGGATTCAATGAAAATGTACATGAAAATTGCTTTAGCTAAGTACCTAGAATACGGTGTTGCTCACTGAAAGGGAACCATGATTCCTATTTCCTTCATCTCTTTATTTCTCACAAAATGCACAAACCCTCCAAAAACTAAAATAAATCAAACAAGATGAACCCTTTCCTGAAATAAAGTCTTATAATGACAGTGCTGTTCTTCTCCTTCTCTTCAAGACTGACTAAAATAGATAGGATTTTTAATAGAAAGAGGAATTACTCATTTAGAAAGGAAGACAATGTAATTCAATTAAACTTGACAATATCTAATTTTTGAAGGATTCAGAGCATTAAATTTTATATCTGTTCCCACTGAAAAATGATTTTACTGGTTGTAGACAACCGTAGCTATATTTTTGTGGAAGCTTTCATTACATACAGATGATAAGACCCCTTCAAGTCTTGGCCTTAGGTTCCTCCCATTTCCCTAGCTTAGAGAGAGAACATTCTTACTGTGAGCTGTGGGAAGTGCCAAAGTATGGGAAGAGGACTCATCTTTCAGAAACAAGAAGGAAGGAGAGTGACTGGCTAGAGTCATTCTTTATTATTCAGTGTTGGGCAAGAAATTGAGTTGCCAGGAGTATTTTCCTATATTTCTATTATGTTTGAGAAAGAAACTTTTTAATTATTCTTAATATTTAGAATGATTTCCTTTCACAACACAACGTGGTCAAATTTTATTCTCTGACCTTGTTCCATGTAAATACTAATGGCTGAAATCAAGGTGATCTTATTTTCACTCAATCATTTTTTCATAATTCATGTTTTCAATAGGCACTGTTCTGGTTGCTGGTTTTAGAGCAGTAAAGCCTTCATGGAGTGTTCATTTTAGCAAGAGAAGAGAGACAGTAGGTAAATAATTTAAAAACAAAGTGCATTCAACACCAATTCATGATAAAACTCTTAGCAATCTAGGAATGAAGGAAGCTTCCTTAAGCTAATAAAGAATATCTACAAAATAGACTATTGAAAGAATTCCCCTCAAGAAAAGGAACAAATCTATTGAAAGATTTCCCCTCTGAGGTGAGGAACAAGAAACCAGTATCAGCATCGCCACTTTTATTTAACATTATATTGGAGATCCAGCTAATGTAATAGGTAAGGAAAAGAAACACAATTTATAAGGCTCAGAAAGGAGGAAATAAAATGTTCACTATTCAAAAACTACACGATTGTATAAGTAAAAAATCCAAAAGAATCTACACACAAACTATAGAGTTAGTAAGTGAACATAGCAAGGTTTCTGGATACAAGATCAGTACATAAAATCAATTATATTTTTACATACCATCAATAAAGAAATGAAAAATGAAATAAAAAACAAGACATCACTTTCTATTGCTTCAAAAAACCCCACCAAGGAATAAGTCTAAAAACAACAAAGTTTTCTCGAGTGTGATTAAAGTGGATTTAAATATGTTCAAGGATTGGAAGACTCAATATTTAAGATGGCAACTCTCCCTAAATTAATTTATAGATTTAATGGAATCTCAATCAAAATTCTAGCAAGTTTCTTTGTGGATATTGCTAAGCTGATTCTACAATTTATATAAAAACGCAATGGGCCAAGAATTGCCAAGGTAATCTTGAATGAAATGAACAAACTTGGAGGATTTACACTAGCAGATATTAATTATTAATTATAAAGTTATAGTAAATAAGACAGTATGATGGAAACAAATAGAGCCAATGAACAGGAGAGTCCAGAAACAAGGTCCACACCTATACAGTCATCTAATTTATAACAATGATGACACTATAGTGCAGTGGACAAGGATATCTTTTCAGTATTTGGTGCCAATTAGATATCTTTATGGAAAAAAGAAGACATCTTGACCTCTATTAAACACATGCACAAAATTCAATTCCTGATGGATCTCAGAGTTACACATTTTAAGAATACAGAAACATACTTTTATGATCTTTTGGTATGCAAAGATGTCTTTAAAAAGACACAGAGTTGACTATAAAGGAAAAAAAAGATAAATTGGATTACATTAAAATTAAGTATTTTTGTTCCTCAACAAACACTACTAGGAGAGTGAAAAGCCAACCCACACAGTAGGAGAAAGTAATTTGCTACACATATAAGTGGCAAAAGACCCATTATGAATATATAAAGAATTTCTACAAATCAATAAGTAAAAGGACTCATTAAGACTATATAAAGAATTTCTACAAATCAATAGAAAAAAAAACCCCAGATATTTCACAAAAAAGGATATCCAAGCGGACAATAAACCTATGAAAAAAGCTCAATTTCACTACTCATCAAAGAAATGTACATTAAAACCGTAATATGATATCTCTACATGCCCAGCAGAAAGGCTAAAATTAAAAAGACAGACAATATCGATACTGGTGAGAAAGTGGAGCAACAGAAAACTCATATACTGTTGGAATGTAAATTGGTACAAACACCTTGAAAACCTGTTTGGCATTTTCTACCAAAGCTGATCAAAAGTGTGCCATATAACTAGCAATTCTACTCCTGGTTGATAGCCAAGAGAAAAGACTGCTTACGTCCTCTGAAGGACAGGTACAAAAAAGTTCTTAACATGACTATGCAAAAAAAGTCAAAGACTGGAAACAACCCAACCATCTACATTGGAAAGGAATGGAATAAAGAAAATTTGGGATATTCCAACAATGGAATATTACAAAGCAATGAAAATGAAAGAATTACAACTAGACACAATAATGTCTCTGAAACCAAAATAACGTTGAACAAAACAGGCTGGATATAGAAGAGTCCATACTATATGATTCCTTTCACACACACTCAGCTCAAAGCCAGGCAAACTAATTTATGATATTAGAAGTCAGTACAGTGGTTTTCTTTGAGGGTAGCTAGTGACTGTAAGAGAGCATAAGGGAGGGCGGGATTCTGGTAGCATTATCTCCTTGATCCACATGCTGGCTACACAGCTGGGTACACATGGTGAAAATTCACTGAACATTACACTTATTATTTAGGCACTTATATGTATATATAGTTCAATACAAAAGGAAGGCTGTTAGATAATACTTTGGTGAATAAACTTTCAAACCAATAACATTTTGTAAAGGTGAAAAAATAATATGTTAAATGGGAATTAAATAATATGAAGAAAATAAAGCAGAGGAGGGACACTGGGAAGAAAAGATGTGAACAGGAGGGGTATGCAATTGTAAATGCAGTAGTCAGAGGGGCTTTAATGAGAACTGTTACTTCCCTTTTCTTACCTGTATGGTAAAATTTCCCTGAAAATCCCAGGTTGAATGTAAAATTTGTGATTTGTGCACGCAAAAGATTCTGAGTATCAAGCAGAGCCTGAAATACATAATTAAAAAAATGTATCAGGTAGAGAATGGCATTGAGAAGTTTTAAAAGATATCTTCCTTTTGCATTCAAAGTGTAAAACTACTTCTTTATATGAGAGATGATTAAATGACAGAAAGTAGACTCTTTACCACTTTAAAACTAGAGAGATGCTTTCGAGATTACAAGTAAAACACACACATATACTTACCCTTTAGCTTGCAATAAATCAGCAAGAAGTGTCAACTAGAAAAAGGAAGTTACATGAAAAGTTCATTCTGCATGTATCGAAGGAACTAGTAGCTAGCAGATAAAATATATCTCCTTTTACCCCTCAGGGACATAGATCACTAATTGTCAAAAGAGGGACACGCTAAGTGAAACTATATAAGAACATATGTTGAAAGAAACAGATCGCTATTTCTCAGATGCATCCTCGGTTTTCAAAATTCAAGACTTTTCCATCTTTAAGTCTTAGGTTCTCAAAAGATAGTGATTGTTCTTCAAAAGGGGTGTATCATGGTAAAGTAAAGTAAATCTCTAATTTGCCTTTTCATTAAAAACACAAACAAAAAATCCTACTTCTAACAAGTAAAGCTATTTTGAATCAGAGTTTTAATTCTTACACTCTGTAAAGTATTTACCATGCTATGAGTATTTAATGGACTTTTTTCTTTCTTCTCCTTTTTACTTAAATTCCTATTCTTATATTCTCTCTCTCTCTCTTTTCGTCTCTCTCTCTCTCACACACACACATTCACACATACAGAAGTAAAAATAAATGGTAAATTTGTAAAGGATCTTAGTCAACACTTCTTTTACACATGAGGAAACTGAGGAGAAATTACTTGTCCATTTTCACAGATAAAATTGGTGGTAGACACTAGATTAAAGACACAGATCACCTGATTCCAAATTAGGTACTCTTTTTATTCTACCACACCATATCCTCTTTCCCCCTTTCTGGGCGTACAACACAATCTTGCTCCTTAATAGTATAGCTGACACCTGGAAGCCCTACCCCATCATGTTCATGGTCTCAGTCTTTTTGCGGGGATAAACGGATATACAGTTTTTTATTCAGAGACTATCCCCTGATTGTATGCCTTATCTGTGGATGCAAGTGATTCTCCTTGTGGGGTAAAAGCAGAGGAAGAGAACTTCTGAATTTCAAATTTAAATTCAGCTGACCAAGGGTAAGTTTTTGAAATTTAGGTGGCTCAGTTTTCTTTTTCTATCACTGCTATGAACAATCTCTTTTATGTGCACAATTGAACCATGTAATATGTGAGTCCGGAGGGCACTCAAAAATGGAAGACTGGCCTGTTCGTGGATTTCCACACCTGACTATAGAAGCAAAAGAGTTAACTGATGGCAGTGTCATTGGGGACAGGTTAAGTCTTGTGCTCACAAGGGCTGGGCATGAGTTGGGCAGGGGAAGGAGAATCTGGCCAGCTGAGCAGCAATGAAGTGAGGAATGGGACTTCTCGGTGGTACACAGGTTCCCAGTGTGGGGAGGGGTGCTGCCTGGATGTAAGGTGTGAGCCTTTCTCTTTCTGTCCATATGGAAGTAGCGTCAGGTAGGGAATCTGAAGGTATGGATGTAAATGCCAACTCTGAGACTTACAGTGCAGTCACTAAGGCTTGGGAGTCAGGTTGTCTCAGCTGGAATTCCGTATCTGCCTCTATTTGGCTTTGGGCATGTTATTAAACTTTCCAGGCCTTGGACTCATTGTTTGTAAAGCAGGGATAGTAATAACTACCTCAAAGCACTATTGTGTGGATTAAATGAGATAATTCACTTAGGCAATTGGCACAGTGACTGGCACATGGTACATGCTCAACGATTGGTAGTTGCTGCTCCTCTGTTATTGCTGCTGCTACTATTACTACTACTAATATGGTTGTTGTTATTGTTAGTGATGATGGACAATTCATATTACCTCTGAAATTTTCCCTTCATTTGTGAAAGTGGAGACAATTGTACAACTCATAAAATTGTGATGAGGATTATAAAAGAGATAATATATGCAAGAGTGCTTGGTAAAATGTTTTAAAAAGTGGCATAAAATATTAGGTGCTGATATAACTATAAGATACATATTCATATATGTTAATATATATAATATATATTGCTGATAATTTTATCTAATACATATATAACTCATTTACTTCTTAAAGTTTTTTTCTTAAGTTATTTACCTTCAGTCTCCTCCTACCCTTCCTTCTCCCCTTCTTCTCTCTCATGTCATCTCCCCAGTTGAACATTCTAGCAGGTCTTCCTATCTTTCCTTCCTCTTAGATCTTATCTTTCTTCTTTATCCATTTACTCACTTCATTTCATTCTCTCTCTCTCTTTTTTTTTTTGCTGAGGAAGAGTCACCCTGAGCTAACATCTGTTGGCAATCTTCCTCTTTTTTTTGTATGTGAGCCGCTGCCACAACATGGCCACTGATGAGTGATGTAGGTCCACGCCCAGGAACTGAACCTGGGCCGCTGAAATGGAGCCAAACTTAACTACTAGGCCACTGGGGCTGGCGCCATTTCATTCTCTTATTTTTCTCCTTTCAATGGTTAAAATATGGATTCAAGGGGGCCGGTCAGGTGGCATAGTGGTTAAGTTTGCACACTCAGCTTCTGTGGCCCGGGGTTCACGGGATCAGATCCCAGGTTTGGACCTAGGCACCACTTATCAAGCCATGCTGTGGCAGGCATCCCACATATAAAGTAGAGGAAGATGGGCACAGATGTTAGCCCAGGGCCAATCTTCCTCAGCAAAAAGAGGAAGATTGGCAACAGGCATTAGCTCAGGGCTAATCTTCGTCACCAAAAAATAAATAAATAAATAAATAAATAAACAAATAAATAAATAAAATATGGATTCAAAATCCATTTTAAAATTATTTATTGTGTTCAATGCTTTAATCTTACAGTTGGAAATCTTTTCTTTTTGTCTCTCTGAAAATAAAATCCCCAAACTAAACTTGAACTTGAACTTTGCTTTGTGCTTCTTAATTGCTTTTTAAAATTTACATTTACAATACTCGATAGGAAAAATACCAAATAACCCTATCCTGTTTGTAGGCGTTAGAAGCTAAAAAAAAGTACCTGTGAACTAACCTCTTAATTAACTGGAATACACTGATTCAAAGTTAATTGAATTAGCCCTAATTTTGCACGTTTGAGTTGGCATTTTACACATTTATTTGATATTCTAGAAACAAACACTGAAACATATAAAAGATATACAGTCATGCATCGCTTAATGATGGAAATACGTTCTAAGAAATGCGTCGACAGGCGATTTCGCCGTGCGAACATCAGAGAGAGTACTTACACAAACCGAGATGGTATAGCCTACTACACACCTAGGCTGTATGGTACTAATCTTACGGAACCACTGTCATATATGAGGTCCGTCATTGACCGAAACGTCATTATGCAGCCCATGACTGTACTGGAACAGACGGCAGATAGTAATATTATGCCTATGTATGTTGAAGAAGGAAATTTTTTTCTAGGTGATAGTTTATATACTTAAGATAAGCAGTCATGTTTCTTTTGTATTGTTTTTATGTACCAGATTTTGGGGTACCTATGAGAACAATGTTATATATTCATCCATTATTCCCATCTTTTCAAAATATTCTTATGTGCAAAAAGCTTGAGTACCCAGCAATATTCTTAGATCATATTCTTTTCACTAAACTCTTCATTACTAGAATGATTTTATTCAGCATTATTCTATTTTAAACTGAAATAGTCTATTCCTACCAACAAAATATTTAAAAAATGATATAAAATGATTCTCTGCTTTATTTTCTATGTGCAATATGTATAAAATGGTGCGATAATATCTAATAATCTAATAATAAATCAACGTTTCAAATCTGGGCAAGCACAGGTCTCTGATGTGCAGACTACCTTGGCCATGGCGGAGGCGAGTAGCCACAGCCACCTGCAGAGGTGCCCTTTAGTGGTCTCCTCCCATACAAGATCCCTCAGAACATAGACGTCTACTGTCAAAAACGGTCTGATTATTGAAAAATGGTCCTTTTATTTTTAAGTGTTCTAAAACATTGTATATATTTAGCAGCATAATTTACAATACCACATATGAGTGATTATATTTAAAATAACACATTATTTTTTTCTAATTAAAACAAATAAAATCATTAATAAGTCTACCTCTCAGGATAAGTTAATATTATGATGGAATTCCCTCCCATTTTTTTCAATAGCTAAATATACCTATGTGTATGCAGATATATAGCTAAGTAAGTGAAATTAGAGCCATAAAATAAATTTAGACTCAATTATGACTAAAAATATTGTTTTGAATTTTGCCTTTTTCATTTAACAGTATATCATGAGCTTTCTCCTGTTTCATTAATCTTTCAAAACCAATTTTTTTAATGGATGCAGAATATTGCATCAAATGGGTGTACATAATTTATTTAACCATTTTGTCCTACTTTTGAACATTTAGGTTGTTTACATTTTTTGGCTAATATAAATACTGCTCTGTGTATCAATACATATTTATATAATGATGAAGTAGCCATTTCTAAAGGAGAAAGTAATTCTGCCTATTCTTCACCAAACAATTTTGCAGCAAATTTGGAAATATTTATGAAAGTATTAAGAGGGAACATAATATCCAATTAAAATTATTAGAGAATTACATTTTGAATACAATTTAACATGAAAATTTGACTATTTCCAAAATTACTTTTTCAAGTTTGAATCTGTATGCTACCCCACCAACTTAATTTTTTGAGGCTTCTTTCTTCAAAGCCAAAAACACTTAGAGGCATTGAAAAATCTAGTTGAAGGCAAAAAAGATCTAATTTAAAGAAACTGAGCTCTGAGAACGGAGCAAAACGGGAGCTTTTATATATCTTTGGATTTTCTCCAACTTTCTGTAACAGAATGAATATATCAAAGTAAATCAAAGAGACAAAAATTAAAAATAACTGCAAAACTATTTTATATGGAGATTCATGTTAGTA